ATCCTATGCTCCCCTTCTTCTGACATCCCGATTTTCGCGTTGAAGTCACCCATGGCGAATTTGTAGAAGGACTTCTCTTTGCGGATGACTTCCTCCAAATCCTCACAAAAGCATCGAGCTTCGAGTCATCAGCTGCTGGTGTTGGAGAGTAGCAGTGGATGATAGTAATGGCTTTCTGATGCAGAGGACGGAGTCGAAGGAGGCCAGGCGATGATAGGATCTCATGCGAATCGACAAGATGGACAACAGATGAGTGTACGACAAATCCAACGCCTCCAACATCCCTGATGGTAGCTTTTCATCACGAATGATGAGTGTGCCATAACTCAGCTGCCTCACGTCCGTCTTCCTGGACTCTGTTTCCTGCAAGGAGAATACTTGGTAGATGCGCCCTGCAGCTTCGAGGAGGGCGTGAAGATCGGCTGATGGAGACTGTCCTGGCGTTGTAGGTGCAGAGCATGAGACAATCTCTATGGCGGTCGTTGATGCGTCCTTTTGGTCCGAAATCTATGGCGTCCTGTGCAATCTGACACTGGTCTTGATGACATCCGACGCCGTAGATGTAATCCAGTGTGCAAAGCTTCTTGTTCTCTTACAAGCTGTACAGGCAATAAGTAAAGGAAATCTCCCCAAATTTCAGCAGTGCTTTGCCAGGGCCCTGCCAAGCTTTCACCACAGGCAATCGCTGACCTTATGTATATCAGGGAGGCACCTTGCGACTGAATCAGCCAGACGGTGGTGCTTCTGACATGGCCTACTTTTAACTGGGCATCCGGGAAACCGGAAATGTCGAACTCCTTCTCAGCTTGGGAAACCTTGCTGGAGGATGAACCTCCACTGTACTTCGCAGTTCAACACCCAGAGTCACCCCCGCGCCACGATGAGGCGGTAGACCATCATGGAGGACATTAGTTTAGAGCTTGAATGATTTTCTTCTAAGTATTTTATGTCTTTCAAGGTAAGGTGGTTTTTCTTGTATCTACGATGTCCAAATTTGATTATCTGATTAGATTTGCTTTTGGTAGTAGAAAGCCGTCTTCTTAAAATACATTTCAATGAAATCTTGAAATCAGTTCGTAATTGTTTAACTTATCACTTCTTTCCGGTAGGTGTTCATTCCTTTCTTTTCAAAAACCAATACTACAGCATCTTTGTAATTTTCTTATTTAGCTTCTGTGATTTTCTTTATAGACTAATATGCCTGAACAAGCTTCTAGATATTTCGTTGAGCGGCTTCGTATATTTTAGTCTTTTACCTGCAACTTCCAGTTTTGCACAATTTCTAGTCTAGCATAACATTGTTTCTGGGCGCAACTTAACAATTCAATCTATTTCTAGATGTTACTCAAAAAGAATTTTTTTAAAATGGATAAATAGTAATATAGAAATCTTCTAGAGGAGCAGAAACTGATCTGCAGGAACAAACGTCAGATAGCTTACATCTAACAAGCAGTGTTTCTTTACCAGTGTATCTAGCTGCCATTTACGACTATTCTCATTTCTTAATATGTCTGACTCAACTTTTCCGAACTTCTCCTGGTAATTTACCATCAGCTTTTTCTCAGTAGAGTACACAACATTCACTCGATTTCTTTAGCCACTTTAGAACATCACGATAGGTGAGAATAATAGAATGTATATCCTTTCCTTTTACATCAGGTCTTTACTTTTCTGGTACTAATGAATGCTTAATCTAACTAGCTTTTCTTTTTGAACAAATTAAGGAAAGATAAAAGAATGTAAGATCTGTGTCGTGTCGGCAAGACTATCACCATTTGCGATCTCAATTGAAAGAGAAGAAATTTGAAATAATTTCAAAACAGACAAATAGATTTGAATGCGCTGATCCTTATCTTTATGTCGAAGGATCGAAAATCCTGCCAAATTTTAAAAACACG